AGTTGTGTCTATTGGGGTCCCTTCAAAGAACCATTGGACAGTATGAAGTGGCTCTGAAGTGGTCCTACACTCAAAAGTGACTTTATCTCCTTCTAATATTGAGCTGTTATTAGGAGGCAAAACAATCTCTGGTGCAGCTGTGAAAAGAAGAAAACATTAATTGCATTTCTCTCTTTTATATACTGAAAAACATACCTTCAATTTCTAAGAATACACTGGTACTATTAGTTCCTGCTTCATTACTAGCTACCAATGTATACAGTCCTTCATCACTGTGCTGTAGATTGCTTATACTGAGACTGAGTAGATCAGATGAGAAGTTGTAGTTTGATTCAGAACCAGTGAGGCGTGTATCATTAAAAAACCACTGTATGTTAGTAACATTGACTACTGGTGAGGCATAAAGTATCATGAATGATATTGTAACTGATCCATGCACTACACCAAGATATGTTGATGAATCACTTACAACAGTTGGAGGGACTATAAAATAGAGAGAGAAGAGTACTTGATAAAACTATCATACATTACTGCACCTTGTACTGTAAGAAATGACATTGAAAACTCTATAGCATCAATCAGGTTATCCACTCCATTAGATGCAGTGCAGGTATACCATCCTTCATTATTGGCCCTAAGAGTATTTGATACAGTCAATGAACTGGTAATGTATTGATCCATTGAATGACTGTAACTTTTTATATTGATATCATTGGCTCCATCATCTTCCAACTGTGTATTGTTGAAGAACCAGTTAACAGTTGATAAAGGAATAGAGAAAACTGTACAGTTGAACACTCCATCATCAGTTTGATTGATAGTCTTGTTAACAGGAGGCTCTGTTATATTAGGTGGATCTGAAAAAAAATAGATTAGAGAGAGTAAAAAGAGGAGAGAGAGGGAAGTGATGTATGTGTTTAAAACAAAATAAAGAGGAACCAGTACTTACATAAAACAGTAAACTGCAGTTGAGGAGAAGTGACAGTTTGAACAGATTCCAATTCATTAGTAGCAGTGCAATGGTATCCATTGGTATCACTAAGCTCCAATTCATTTATTAGCAAACTACTACTGACATTGTACAATCCTCCTACTCCTTCCATTGTAAGCACATTGATACTCATCTTATTGTTATTCTGTTCTGCTACCAGTGTATCATTAATAAACCAACTGATTGTAGGGGCTGGGTATCCTCTTGATATACAGGTAAGGACTGTATCAGAACCAGCTGTACCATTAGGGGGAACCGCCAAATCTACAATCACTGGAATAACTAAAAGAAATAAAATAATTGTTAGATACAGTAGTGATACAATTCATCAGTAATACAATATGCTTACAAACTTAGTCTACTTTACACTTCCTTAACTAATGTGCTTCAGTAATAAACAAATCACACACTATCAAATCACAAATTGAATGATACGCTATTATTAAAATATTCAGTACTTTACAAATTTTTTCTTAATTTTAATAGGCAACATTTTTTTGTAGAAAGCAAAATATATCGCCAAGGAATGTTGCCTAGAAACATGTTACTAAGCAACACCAATCCTAGCAATGTGCTCCCTACACTAACCTTGAACAGAGAGAGTAGCAGATGTCATTACTGTCCCATGGGTATTGTTATATGTACAAGTATACGTCCCTCTGTCTGTGAAACGAATACGCGATATTGTAAGAGAACCGAAATCCTGTCCAGAGTCTCCAATAATATAGCGAGAGTCTTGTATGAGTATTTCGTCATTAAAACTCCAAGAGACGGACGGGAACGGGTCTCCAATTGCAAGACACTGGAACGTAACGGTAGAGTGCTCGAGGAGAGTCTGGTCTGACGGTAAAAGATAAAATACAGGAGGACCTAAAAATAAAATTAAAAAAAATATAATTAGAAAAACATAAATTAAGCATGATTACAATATTTATTATTATTTAATACCTTGCAGCTGTAGATTAATAGAGTTTGATCTGGTTCCCGCTTCATTGGTAGCAAACAGGGTATAGATTCCTTGATGAGCTGATGTGATTTGTGTTATGACCAAAGACCGTCTCTCATTAATTAATTCATAGTGAGGGTTATCAGTTTCCGTTATATCCAGCAAACCAGCTGTACCTCTGAACGTCCAGCGAATGTTGGACGTGTTTACAAGTGGATCATCTTGTGTGATAGAGAATGTGAGTACAATGGACTGACCCTCAACACCAAATGAAGGAGATGGAGAAACAGGAGTGACACTAGCAGGAACTGAGAAATGGAGGACAAAGAGAAATAGAGAGAGAGTCAATATATAAATATAGTGCATGTAGATACGTGTACCTTGTATTCTTAAAAATACAGCTTTAGTCTCAGGTGTGTCCAATACATTGCTAATATTGTTAACTGCCATACAAGTATACACTGACTCGTCAAACTTAACTGTACTAGTAAAATTCAATACTGAGATACGGATGTGAGTATAATCCGTCTCAGTAATAGTTATTCTGTTAGCCCCTCCCCCTACAACTAGGGAGCCATCAGTATTATTGATCCATGTTATGCGAGGGAGAGGAATAGCAAATACTGAGCAAGTGATGGTGGCAGTGAATGTCACATTAACTGTTAACTGAGTCTCTGGACTAACTGTTACATTAGGAGGATCTGTGGGGAGAGAAAAGAGTATCATTATTTAATAGTTCCGTTGTCACAAAATCTGTGACAAGTTAAAAACAGTAAAAACCTATTAGTTCCATTGTCACAAAATCTGTGACAAGTAAAAACCCATTAGTTCCATTGTCACGAAATCTGTGACAAGTTAAAAACCCATTAGTTCCATTGTCACAAAATCTGTGACAAGAAAAAACCTATTAGGGACTTTGACCCAATTTTTGAGCTACTTTAAAAATTCATAATAAATCCAAACTTGATCAGAATCAGCTCAAACTTTCTACGCAACATAAGTACATGTATGTGTATCAGGAAACATAATAAAAATGAAGAATTCTCTACTTTTCATTTTTGGTAAAATTTGGCCAACGACCCTGTACTATAGTACAGGGACTTTGACCCAATTTCGGATCAACTTTTAAAATTCATAAAAAATCCAATTTTGATTGAAATCAGTTTAAACTTTCCACATAACATAAAACCATGTATATGCATCAGTAAACAATTATAAAAGTGGAGAATTCCTACTTTTCATTTTTGGTGAAATTTAGCACTAATCAAATGTATAATATCATAGTATAATGATGATATCATTCCTTTGAACACATACAATACTTACGAGTAATAAATATAAAGCTAGATTCCGAAGGCACTAGAAATTCATTCCCAGGTGCTCCTGTATTATTAGCCTCACAATGATAACTACCATTGTCGGCCAGCTCCAATACCTGAAAAACCAGCGTACTCATTATGAACCCACTAGTAGGCGTGGTCTCGTTAATCTCGTCAACATAGATACGATCGTTAAGATTCAATAGTGACCCATCCTTAAACCAGGTTATAGTAGGGAGGGGTAGGCCTGTAGCTGAGCAGGAGATGTTGGTCGTGCCTCCGCGAAAATGATCAACTCTTTCAGGCGGAGAGGACTGGATAAATGCAGGAACTATAATAATAATGAGAGAATTAACACAATAAAGTTATGGGCATGTTAGTAGACAATAATAGACTACACTGTAGTCCATAACATATATTGGTGAGGCAAGCTTTTGCAAATTAAGTAGCTTCTTGATTAAAATTTTAACATAAAATTTACAAGGAGTATCAATTGTCAAATGTATTAACTTACGTTGAACGTAAAGTGCAGCATTCCCTGTCTCTGGTGTCTCCAATAAATTCTCAATATCATTAGTAGCAATGCAAGTATACACGGAGGCATCAGTCCTCAAAGCGCTAGCGAAAACAAGGACAGACTCTACAAGTGAAAACCCAGTAATGTTAGTATACAGATCCTCCACTACGTAGAGAACTCGAGAGAGTCTTAAAGGTTCTGAGATGTTCCTTGTATCGTACCAAGTGAGTTTAGGAGGTGGTATTCCATAAGCGGTACAGGTAAAGTTGACTGGTTCTGTTTGATTGACGATGAAAGATTTTGGGGCAACGTCGACATTAGGAGGATCTGTAGATAGAAAGAAAGGGAAGACGTGATAATAATAATAATAATAATAATAATAATAATAATAATAATAATAATAATAATAATAATAATAATAATAATAATGGTTAGTAATAACAGGAGATCATTATACATTAACTTACAGAGCACCGTAAGCTCAGCATTATCACTATACTCCAGTCTATCCTCAACCAGTCCATTACTGACATTGCAGGAATAATTAGCAACATCACGAAGCTGAAGGTCTTCAATTGTTAAGTAACTAGTGACGGTGATGTCTTCAGGTAAGGAGCCCCTCTCTTCTCTGATGCTGCTCTCTGGTATTAAATCTTGAGTAATCATAACGCCATTTTTTAACCATTTTATGTTAATTCCCGGGAAGCCATAGGCAGTGCAGTTTAGCGTGACCACGCCCCCAGCAATGACGTCTTGTGTGAGGGGATGAACCGTAACAACAGGCACAACTAAAATTTTTTAAAATAATTTAATTAAAGAAAGAACTAATTTTGGGTACCTTGAATTTCAAGGAGAACATCAAGTGATGAAGTTCCATTAACATTAGAAGCTGTACATTCATAAGTCCCTTTATCAAAGTAATTAAGGTCGTTGATTGTCAGAGATCCAAATTCAATCCCTTCAGTAATGTCACCGATAGAATATTTCGTGTTATTAGTTAATATGAGGGAGTTGTTGAACCTCCAGGTTACCTCAGGTATAGGATCACCTGTAGCAAAGCAGCTGAATGTAACAGAGTCGCCTTCTATCCTTTTCTGATTCACGGGACCGCTGATGATGGCAGGAGGACCTGAGAGAGAGAGGGGGAAAGGAGAGAGAGAGAAGAAGAAAATCATTAAGGATAAAATGCAAGCACATACACATGTACATATGTTATAGCAGGTAACTTAAAGGGGTATTTAAATTTGGTAAATTAGTAGCTGATTTTCACTTCTCAAACATTAAACCCAGCCCCATCTGCACTATTATACTCATCAATGTCAAGTGGCTACTAATTTCCCAGCCAATAACTAGAAGCGTTGTAATTCGTTGTAATAAATTTCATCCTCCAAAATAATCACCCTCTAGGCCACTGCTATATGACAATGATAATGATAATCTCTCTCTCTCTTTCATTTTAATTTCACTCTCTTACCAGCAACGCTAATAACAACAGTCCCTTCTCCTGTCCCGGCTTCGTTGGTAGCTCTCAAAATGTACTCTCCTTCATCAGTTTCTGTGATACCATCAATCAGGAGAGACAATCGATCCTCCGAGAGAGTTTGCCTTGTGTCTGAACGAAAAGTGATGTCCTCAAAGCTCGAAACAGTTCTTAAAAACCAGCGAATGTTTTCAGTTTTTACGAGAGGAGAGTCTTCAGAGAGCGAGAATGTTATTGTAGCGTTGTCACCGTTTTGTCTGTGAAGTGTGAATCCAACAAGACTAGTCACTGTAGCACGTACTAGTGGAGAAAAATAGAAATAAATTTAATCATTAGAATGACATTTTGCTTGGTTACCCAGTCAAAATTTTACCTCAATACCCAGTAAAATTATGCATCTAACAATCCAATAATAAAATGGTAATACAGCGGGGATATACTTTAATTAAAAGAGTCACGTTTGGTATAAAAATTAAATTAAAATCGTCACGATAGCATTTGCATGTGTGGTCTACATGCCACTTACATGGTCACATGAGATTCATAATATAATTATAATGAGCATTTAATTCCTCTGTTTCCTCTTTCAGTATCACACACAAACATAATAGCATACATAGACATGACAGGCTATACAATTACATGAAGCATAACCACAGACACAAGGACAATATGTAGAGTACATTATAGTAATGGAGGAGTCACTCATAAAGAGTAGAGTAACCACAGGTAGAGTAAATGTAGAGTGTTATTGTAGTTTATCAAAAAATAAAATAACATTACTGAATTGCTAACATACTATGTCATAATTACTACTTGTATAATTATAATATTATAATTATTACTACTATTATGATAATAACCACATGATCACGGCTATTACTATTATCATTACTATTCTCACTATTAAAGATCACTACACCAATACTACACAACAGAGAGCATAGGAAATATAAAAGGATTCACACTATATTGTGTAAACATACACATACATTCATAACAAGTACACAAAACACATGTACATGTACATGTAACTCGACATGCGTAACGCCAGAATTATGATATCCTGCCAAGCTTTTGGGTGAGGTTACGAGGTACAACATTAGCTGTACATGTACATGTATTTGTACATGCATACAAGGCGTTCCAGTCGCTGCAAGAATGAAGGTGATATGCCAAATTAATTGTATTGGGGGAATTCTGACTCACTCGGCACTAACTAAGTTAAACATCATGCAAATTGAATTCTCCTCCATAACATGTAAAGGAAAAGGTTGGCAAATATAATAGATTATTTGGCAGATGACCTAGAATTGTTAGCTATGATACATTGTATCGATGATCTAGCTCATTGAGTAAGTGCAGAATGAGATAAAATGACACAGATTTTAGATCTGAACTGCCATTAATTTCCCACTGATATTTCACAACAGAGTGCATCACTATATACACTGTTAGATCTAGAGAGACTTCAGGAGACTTTTTATCTCCCATATTTGGTCTAGAACTCTTTAAAAAGTATTCCGTTTTTGGTTGGATTGGTCTCCAAAAATTCAATTTTAAAAATCTACATGCATCATTCACATACCTTGTACAGTAATGGAGCTAGTTCCTTGATCCAGAGCATTGATAACATTAGTAACATTATTGACAGCAGTGCAAGTGTAATTGGACTCATTAAGCTTTACTATTGAGTTAAAAGTAAGCACAGAAGTGCGAGTGTTTCCGGAATCAGTCTCTGTTATACTAACAATATCCTGTATAGGAGTCAAAGGTATGCTAGTTCCTTCTCGATCGTCAGTCCACGTAATTTGAGGATGAGGGACAGCAAAAACTGTACAAGTTATGGAGACCCTATCCGTCTGATTGACGATCATTTGAACAGGAGATATTATCAAAGACGGAGGATCTGTTAAGAGGTAACACATAAAGTACATAATTATGTGTTCATGTACATGTACATGCACTTACATTGAACAACTAGCGTAGCAGCCAAAGAATTGACAGTAAAGCTATTACCCAGTGCTCCAGTATTATTAGCCATACAATGATACACTCCGGCATCTTCCAGGGTCAAATCGACAATAGATAGCACACTGACTGATTGACCAGTTGTATCAGTGAAAGACTCTCTTATGGTGATCGTAAGGTTGTCCGTCTCTGCTAGTATTTCTCCGTCTTTAAGCCACAAAATGGAGGGAACTGGCAGGCCATATACAGTGCAGGAGAGGCGGGCACTACCAGCTGTGTAGTTAGTGACTGACTGAGGATGAGTAATGAATAAAGATGGGACTAGAATAAGAGAAAGAGAGAGAGAGAAAAAAAATTACCAAGACTACACAATATATGTACATTGTACATGAAATATGCTTTCTCAACTATAATTTTGTAAAGTTTTATTTTTTTTAATTCAGGGTTCTAAACTCAAAAATTAGTCCACATAATTAAAAGTGGACTCTAAGGTAGTTATTGTACCAAAACAAGCCCATCCACATACCTTGTACAAAAAGTGACACAGAGGCTGATTCTGGTACACCAATCGCATTAAAGACATCATTTCTACCGGCACAAACATATCCTCCTTCATCAGTGGCCATCGATGAATTGAAGAGCAGCACTGACGTTACATTATACCCATCAACAACCGTTGTGATGAACGGGTCGGACCCTGGTGGAGAGAGGGTGGAGACTGGAAGATCGTTGGACCCAATACGAGTCCATGTAACGGTTGGAGTGGGTACGCCAAAGAGAGAGCAATTGAAAGAAGTTGAGTTAGTTTGATTCGTTATTGTAAGTGTAGGGGATACCGAGACCACAGGAGGATCTGGAATGAATGAAAATATAAAAAATAATAAAAATGAATAATTATATATTTTAGTTACAACAAAGCTTTATTAGATAGAGAGATAGAAACAAGAAGGAGAGAAAGAAAAGAGAGGGAAATTGAGGAGAAAGAAGAATTTTTCCAAAGAGCGAGAAAGAGAGTGAATTTCTTACATTGAACAAACAGATAAGCTGTTTCTGTCCTATCACTAAATATCCCAGTGCCAGAAGCTGCTTCGTTACTAGTAGAGCAATGATAGTATCCAGTATCTGACAATACTAGTGAATCGATTCTAAGGAAACTAGTTATATTCCTCTCGTTTTGAGTCACAAACGAGAGAGTAGTAATATTGATGCGATCATCACTTTCACTGAGCACCAGCTGGCCATCTTTAAACCAAGAGATTGATGGTAGAGGAATGCCTGTGGCTTGACAGGAGAGAGTGATAGTGCCAGCTGTATAATTTGAAGTATTGAATGGCTCTAGTAAAAACTGAGAGGGCTCTGATGGAGAAAAAGAATAAAAAATTAGAGAAAATGAATTCATTACGTAAAGCCTAAAGGACAAAGTTTTATTGCAAATTGTAATGATTTTTTAGCAAAATTTTATGCAAGTTAATTTACATCAACTTGCATCAAAAATCATTAAAAAATATACTCAAGTAAAACTAAAATATAAACGAGTGTTTTACCCTGTACAAAGAGCTCTACTGAGTCTTCTTCAGGCGAACTAATCAAATTATCAATTCCATTGCTAGCAGCACAAGTATAAGAGCCCATATCTGTCCTCTGGGTGAAGAATATAGTGAGAACACTAGTAATGTTATAAGTATCGGTAGTATTAGTGATTGAGTACAAGGAGGATGGAGAGAAGGGAAGGAGAGTGGAGCCATTAAGCCAGTTAAAGGTCGGCCTGGGTATACCAAAGATATTGCAAGTGAAGACAGCAGAATCAGTTTGATTAAGAATGAGGGACGAAGGAGAGAGATTGACGAGTGGTGGATCTAAAGAAAAATTAAAAATACTAATAATAAAGCAGGCTAATTGGAACACAGTTTTTCTTAGTTTTTTGAAGGTTTTATAAAAATATATCAAAAAAGATGCATGGTCATTATATGCTCACATTGTACAGAAATTTGAGCCACTTGAGATGACACGTTGAAAGTTATTCCAGGTGCACCGGTATTAATAGCGACACAAACGTAATCACCATCATCACTAGAAAATAAATAAATAACCAAGTTATTTTTGACAAAATTTTTAAGCAACTTTAAAATATCCAAATTTGATTGGAATCAGCTCAAACTTTCTACGCAACATAAGAACATGTATATGCATGTATGCACGCCGGCCAGTATGCATCAGAAAAATACTATATAAATTTCTCAACATCATTCTTGGCATAAAGCAATAGACTAGTCACACAGTACCTTAGGACAATGTCCACAATATGAAGCCTGCCGTAATTTATACCAAAATTAGACTGCTCGTAATCATTCTCTCTTATCTGGATATGATCTCCATCATCTACCAGCAAGACGCCATCTTTATACCAGTATATAGACGGAACTGGTAGACCAGTGGCTGTACAGGTTAGATCAATGAATGGAAAACCAGCTGGGTGAGTTCTACTAGTTGGGTGCTCTGCTATGATCACTGGATCTAGGATAAAAAAAGAGAGAGAAAGAGAAAGAGAGAGAAATGGGTTAAGTTAGGAAAGAAAAAGGGAAAGCAAAAAAGAGAGAAAAATGGAGGAAAAAGAGAAAGTGAAAAAGGACATATCTTTCCCCTACCTTGTACATAAAGCTCTCCCACATCATCTTCAGGTGTTCCAAGAACATTAGTAACATTGTTTACAGCAATACAAGTATAATTGGACTCATCAACATCGCTAGGACGAAACAAAGTCAATACCGAAGTACTAGAGCTATCAATCGAGGAACCGAGTATTTGTGTCGGGCCTAGACTCATCAATAAAGCCCCGCCCTTTTCCTTTATCCACCGCAGAGAAGGAGGGGGTATACCGAATGAGTAACAAGTGAAGGTGATTGAAGATACTGCAGTACTGTTGACAATTATTTGAGAAGGAGTTACTGTGGTGTTTGGTGGATCTGGAAATAAGAAATAATAATAGTATACGGCAAAAAATTGTGCTGTGAAAGCATATTCTATACTTACGATGAACTGTGAGTCTCACTGACTGAGAGAAGACATTAAATATTCTATCATGAGCTCCAGGATTAGTAGCCTGACAATGATAATTATCATCATCACTCAATACAATATTATTAAACACCAGAACACTCTCAACTAGACTCTCTATTAGTGTCTCAAGGTGTATCAGGGTAGTGAGGTAGACCCTATCATTAGGAGTGATTAGTTGATTATTCTTGTACCACTGGAAGGTCGGTAATGGTATGCCACTAGCATTACACGATAGAGTTACATTACCACCAGCATAATGAGTAGTATTAACTGGATTATCTACTATCTCTACTGGGACTGTAATAAGAAATTAAAAATACATTTATATACCATTAGTTACTATACATACCTTGTACTAGTAAGGTTATATTGTCTTGTTCTGGTGACTGTATTATATTGATGATGTTATTAATTCCAATACAAGTATATATTGACTCATCAGTCTTTAATCCATTGCTAAACACTAGTACTGACTGTAGTGTAGTTGGAGGCAGTAAGGTCTCCATTATATCAATGAGACCAGATACTGGTTGTACTATCGATCCACTTGACACGTTTATCCAATTGATGGATGGAGTTGGTATTCCGTAAGCTTGACATGTGAAGTTTGCTGGTTCTGTTTGGTTTATGATGATCTCTCTTGGCTCAAGGGTAGTTACATTAGGAGGATCTGAAAGAGAGAGGAGAGAAAGAGAAGGAAGAATGAGAGAGAGGGAGAGAGAGAGAATGAGAGATAAGAATAGATCTAAATGAAATATGGTCAAAAGTAATTACATTATTTATAAACCCAAAATCAAGCAATTTAACTGAAGTATACACGACTTACATTGAACAGTGAGTCTAACCGACTGAGAGAAGACATTAAATATTCTATCATGAGCTCCAGGATTAGTAGCCTGACAATGATAATTATCATCATCACTCAATACAATATTATTAAACACCAGAACACTCTCAACTAGACTCTCTATTAGTGTCTCAATGTGTATCAGTGTAGTGAGGTAGACCCTGTCATTAGGAGTGATTAACTGATTGTTCTTGTACCATTGGAAGGTTGGTAATGGTATGCCACTAGCATTACACGATAGAGTTACATTACCACCAGCATAATGAGTAGTATTAACTGGATTATCTACTATCTCTACTGGGACTGTAATAAGAAATTAAAAATACATTTATATACCATTAGTTACTACATACCTTGTACTAGTAAGGTTATATTGTCTTGTTCTGGTGATTGTATTATATTGATGATGTTATTAATTCCAATACAAGTATATATTGACTCATCAGTCTTTAATCCATTGCTAAACACTAGTACTGACTGTAGTGTAGTTGGAGGCAGTAAGGTCTCCATTATATCAATGAGACCAGATACTGGTTGTACTATCGATCCACTTGACACGTTTATCCAATTGATGGATGGAGTTGGTATTCCGTAAGCTTGACATGTGAAGTTTGCTGGTTGTGTTTGGTTTATGATGATCTCTCTTGGCTCAAGAGTAGTTACATTAGGAGGATCTGAGGGAGAGAGAGAGAGAGAGAGAGAGAGAGAGAGAGAAAGAGGAGAAGAGAGAATGAGAGATAAGAATAGAGTAAAATGAAATATGGTCAAGAGTAATTACATTATTTATAAACCCAATATTAAGCAATCTAACTGAAGTATATACGACTTACATTGAACTGTGAGTCTCACTGACTGAGAGAAGACATTAAATATTCTATCATGAGCTCCAGGATTAGTAGCCTGACAATGATAATAATCATCATCACTCAATACAATATTATTAAACACCAGAACACTCTCAACTAGACTCTCTATTAGTGTCTCAAGGTGTATCAGGGTAGTGAGGTAGACCCTATCATTAGGAGTGATTAACTGATTGTTCTTGTACCACTGAAAGGTCGGTAATGATATGCCACTAGCATTACACGATAGAGTTACATTGCCGCCAGCATAATGAGTAGTATTAACTGGATTATCTACTATCTCTACTGGGACTGTAATAACAAAATAAAAATACATTTACATGTATTTACCCTTATACATTACCTTGTACTAATAAGGTTATATTGTCTTGTTCTGGTGACTGTATTATATTGGTGATGTTATTGATTCCAATACAAGTATATATTGACTCATCAGTCTTTAATCCATTGCTAAACACTAGTACTGACTGTAGTGTAGTTGGAGGCAGTAAG